TTCAAAGTTTCCTATATGTCTTTAGCTGTTTTACAATGCATTATGTCATGGAGACTGTCCATATTCACCAATAGATAGATAACAGATTTTGCACCATGATCTTTTTTCCTGTTTTCAACTATAATTTCATTCTCGTCAAAACCAGGATCAACAGCTTGCCTCAGATTTTTAACTTCCAGGATTCCTTGCGCCCTCATAGACCAATATCGATAATTCTCGGAATTCAGTTTTTCTACTTTCAAGTCGTCCATGCTAAATGTCAATTCACCTCTGCGCTAAATTCAAAACTTTCGTTGTCAATATACTCTATCGAATACAGTCTTGGGCCCATAACCTGTTGAATTTTTTGTTGCAATGGTTCAATTATTTTAATATATTTGAATACGTTCGAAATCGAAAAAAGAAAATCAAGTTGCGTCATAACTTTCATTCATCAAAATTGACAACCACTTCATCAAACAAATAACAACATCTAAACACGTCTACAGAGCACACTCAAAATTTAATGGAACAGTTCAATACAGAGCTGACTAAAAATGAACCATTTATAACATCCACAACTACCTCAATATGACAGGGTTTGACTACATAGTGTACCATGGTAGTGTACCATGGTGAAAAAGATGCAAATTTAATTCTAATATATAAAAATGGATGTTTGTTGGTTGGTTGGTAAGTGATAAACTTCTACATCGCTCAACCTGTCGTGATGAAACTTGGCATGTATAAGTAATTCTTCATAGAGAAGATTTTTAGGCTATAAATTTTTCTATAACTCGCCACTAGGTGGCGCTGTAGAACAATTTTTTGAAAGCACAGTTCTATAGCGCTGCGCACGCCTAAGTTCGTTGATTCTGATTCTGTCAAAACATTGGAACAGCAGTGATACAGCAACATAGTACTAACTAGTACTGCAACTACCAAATTCTACACGGACGAAGCCGCGGNGGGCTGAATTCAGAAAAAGAGCTAAATTGAAAACAGAAGAGAGCAAGAAGTTCTCTGGGACAATGAAAAATTGGCTGTCTAAAGAACAAGATAAGACCCAAACCAAAAAAGATGACGGTTTATTTTTGGACACCAGTACTCCTAGTAGTACTAGTACCTCTGTTCACCTGCAGTCTTTTACTTCAGGAACAGAAACGGAACCGCCGGAACCGAACACAAGATCTTTAGCATTTGAATCCGAACCACAGAGAGACCCCGACCCTGAGAGCCCTTCAAATAGCATTGATAAGCCAACACCACTAGAACATGAACCTGAACTTGAACCATTTTGTTTTGATCCCGATCCAGCAAACTGTGTTGTAAATAATGAACTACGTGATTACGTGTCTCAACATGGTATAATTCAAAATAAAGAAGGAAATTTCTCAAAGGCAAAGAAGGAATATGGCAACCGTTTTTGGAGTTTCTCAAGTGCACATTTTTATAGACATTTAGCAAATGGGGAAAAACAAAATAGAGCATGGCTCGTCTACTCTGAAAGCAAATGTGTAGTTTTTTGTGGCTCTTGCCATTCTTGCCATCTTTTCCATTCAGAATCTCGGTCGGAATCATCTTTTGTGAAAAATGGCTTTAGTGACTGGAAAAATGTTACAGCAAGGCTAAAAGAGCACGAAAACTCAGTTTCACACAAAAACAATACAATCACTTCAAAAGAGAGAGGGGAGAAACTAGGAAAGGTTGATTCCCAATTGACTGAAATGATTGATCAAGAAATGAATTACTGGCAAATGCTACTACAAAGAGTTGTTGTGGTCATAAAAGCTCTAGCTTCACGAGGATTGCCATTTAGGGGGTCAACAGAGTTATTTGGTTCCAACTCGAATGGAAACTACATGATGTTACTAGAAGTCCTTGCTGAATTTGATCCCTTTTTGCGTGAACATATCAGAAAGTATGGAAACCCTGGTAAAGAACATATTTCCTATCTTTCATCCACTATTTGTGATGAATATATTGAGCTCCTTGGCAAGAAAGTTACAGACTATATATTAGAGGAGGCATCATATATCCCGTGTGCAGGACACTCTCTAAACCTAGTTGGGACTCACGCTGTAGATTCTTGTATTGAGGCAGTGTCACTATTTACTCTGCTTCAAGAGCTGTATAATTTTTTTTTCTAGCTATACACATAAATGGGCGGTGTTAAATAATTGCAAAAACACAACACTAACAACCAAAAGCCTTTCCACAACAAGATGGTCTGCTAGACATGACGCTTTAAGAGCCTTACAAGAAGAATGGCCTGCAATTATCAGAGCTCTAGAAATATTGAAAAGTGACACAGATCAGAAGGCTAACACTCCAGCAGAAGCTAAAGGCCTACTAAGCAGATTGAACCGCTTGGAAACAGCTATAATGGTCAAGTTATGGGGTACTATTCTTTTCAGGCTCAATAAGGTTAACGAATATGTGCAAAATGAAGACACTGATGCATTGGCCGTAACAGAAGTTTTCAACTCACTGATATCCTTCTTTGAAGAGCTCAGAAATCAGTTTGACATTTATGAAAACAAAGCACTTGATGTTAGTGAAACCAAAGTTTATGAGTATGATAACAGACGTAAGAAAACAAGAAAACTTCAAGATGATGAGACTCGAGATGGCGAAGTTTCTTTTACTACTGGAAGAGACAGCTTTAGAGTTAACACATTTATTCCGATAATTGATAAAGTTTAACAAGAACTTACAGCAAGAATGCATGCCTATGAGGAATTTGTTACAAGGTTCGTTGCATTAATCAAACTCTCAGATCTCACGACAGAAGAAATTGAAGTTGTGGTTAACAAACTTCTCAGTGTATTTGAAAATGATTTAGAGCCGGCAATCTTTGATGAACTTGTCCACCTGAGGTCGCACATGTCAACAAACAAAATAGAAAATAAAAATAAAAAGCCGTTGTCTTTGTACAAGTGGATCATAGGAAACAAATTGGAAGATATCTATCCAAATGTCGAAATTTTGCTAAGAATGTTTATTTGTACTCCAGTAACAAACGCATCGGCCGAGAGGTAAGTCAAACAATAACAAACCGTTTACTTTGTATTACAATTTCAATGCTCTAGATTTTAATCTAAACTAAAATAACGTAAACAAATATTAAACAAAGTCTACTTTGTACTTTGTCAGCTTCTTGGGATCACACACAGTTTTTCATGGGAAAGTAAGATTCCACAAATTACTCTAACTTTCTAATATACTACATTTTTTATGAATCTTTAATCACTTCATAAAATTGAATAGTCTACTTTTTTATTACTTTGTTTTCTGTATAATTTTTTTTATAAGTGTCACAATTTAATTGTATTTTTAGGTCATTTTCCTGTTTAAAAAGGATCAAGGAATACCATAGGTCAAACATGACCCAAACAAAGCTCAACTCTCTCGCTCTCCTCAATATTGAAAATGATGTAACCAAAACATTAGATTTCACCAACACCATCCAATCGTTTGTCTGGTCCAAAGCCAGGAAGAGGAAATTTTAAAACGATGTTAAAAGTCATTTCGTTAGTAAATACCGTGTTGTGTTAATAAATGTACTTACTTACCTAATTATACAGTATTGTTTGTGTTGATTAAGTAGTGTAGTGTGTTTTATTTTTCAACATAACCTTTTCTGTATTTCCTTTTCACACATTTTGGAATTTCGCTGTTATTGACTGATCGATTTAAATTATTTTCTTGAAAATGAATGTGTAAGATCACTGATAATCTAAATAATAACCGAGATATTGTAATCTCTCACACATTTTTTTTAGTTTTGCCGGAAAGGTAGGGCGCACCATTTAATATGCCGAAAATGCCACCCCCCCCGAACGTCTGCTGGGAGGGGGCGTAATGCAGATCTCTGGCCTAGGGCGTAAATAGTTGCTAATCCGGTCCTGATTCGAAGACGATAGCACTCATTCGACCCAGATTGGCCCCGGTAATCACAGTTGCTCCACAGCTTTGATGAGGTGGTATTTAAATGAGATTGATAGTCTGTACAGTGGGGAGAAGAGAATAGGTCACTTTTGAAGGAAAAATCCACCATAATTAATATCAAACTTCATTTAAGTGAAGTACAGCAAGCGCTGAACGTGATGGCGAGCCCGCCCCCATGCACACAAACTCATTTTCAATATAACTCCCACTACAGCTCTTGTAAGACATACAAATACTCTGAACAGAGGCGTATCATTACTCGTCCTCTCATGCTGTTGGCGTTTGGAATTGTCTGAATAATTTGTGTTGATTCTGAAAAAAATGTCATCGCCTAACAAAAGTTTATTTTTGGAAAAATGTATCATTGTATAACATTTCAATGAACAGTACTACTACCTATAATACTAAATAAAATATGAAAAGAAATTACAAACAAGTAATGTTCCATTTGCTACCCTAATTAAAACTAATTATAGGTTCGACACTAGGCGGCAAAGGGTTTATCGTAATATAATAAGAATTTAGTTGGGAGAGTCATACCTGAGCGATCGCTCACCATCACGTTGGCGCTTGCTATAAGTTCATTATATCTAATTATTTTAAATTTCCATGTTACGATCTATTCAATTACAAATTTATCATAATGAATATATGACAGAGCTATTGAAAGCAGAACAACAAAACAAGCTCCGTTATAGGAGGGCAACAAACGGCTTCGGAGAGCCTCGCTCATCTATTATATTCGTGGCTAAACCCATAGATGGCATATTCGCCATGACTGACTGTACAATTTCTATTAAAGAGAACAAAATCCGGGCTAATAGGTCATGGTCGAGTGGAACTTAACGTACCAAACGTTTCGTCTGCTACTGCGGCAGACAACATCAATGGTTTGTGCGTTCACTACGAGAACAAAAGTTATATCTCGAAGTATCTGCAACGAACCATAGTCTCCTATTGCACTATTATTGTTGTCAAGTACAAAAATGCAGGCAAAACTGAAAATACAGTTACTCATTTTTAATGTAGAAAAATTGAAATGTTGGAAATGAATTTATTTGTTTCAGGTATAATGCAGCAAGACAATGCGGAACAAGTTATATTAGATCCAAAACTGATAGCTAAGCACTACCTGAGGACGTGGTTCTTCCTCGATCTGATTTCGTCCATTCCTCTAGATTATATATTTTTAATATTCAATCAAGTAAGTGGCGTTTGATGACATCATAACTTGTTGATTTGGTTCGCATCGCAGTTATTGAGGAAAATTGAAATCGGGGAATCAATCACAATTACTCACTCGTTCGAGAAGCCAAATTGGTTCGATCCATTACTGAAAGAGGTCAAACCGTCAGATTAACTTGATATAACCTATTGTTATATGCGAGTATTAACAAGGATTTCTTTTCGAAAGGTCAAATTAGAATTAAAGTGATGAATACAGTGTAGTACATTGATTGTATAAAAAATGGAATTTTTTTATCGGTTACACAATTGAAATTCAAATAACGCCAAAAGTGACTATGGGAAATGAGAAATCTTCATTTCTAACAATACAACAAATTGTTATCAAGAATTGAAAGTTAGGCTCAATGTCGTATCCTCTCATTCAAATTATTGATTACTCAATTGAATTACTCAAGCATTTTCTCAATTAAAACTTGTTGAAATATCTTCAATTTTTATTTTTGAAGTAACCGTCAACTTCACGATTGTTGCATATTGATATTTAACAAAATTTTTTCAACTAAATTGCAGAATTTTCATTTAAAATATTATGAAAGCGCTTCAAATCTATAGGTTCGTTCCAACCAGCGTCAGAAACAGTTTCTGACAGTCAGGATTCTGCGCAGTAATGTGATTGCGTTCCAACGTGAGTTTCCAACCATCAGTAAACTATCAGTTTTCTGTTCCATCCAAGATTCAAACATGTTCGAAATCTATCAGAATGGTTTGAGGATTATCTTCTAACCATCAATCTGACGCATGCGTATTCCGTATTACTGTTTCTGTTTTATGTTCATGTGACTTGCAAACAACATAACCTGCAAAAATTGTTATGAAATAAATTATGTATTTGCTGGCGCAGGAAAAATTAGGAATGCTTTAAGTGAACCTGAAATATGAACATCTTTAATTACACAAATTAATTATTGCGGTGACGTACTTTTACCTCCCAGTTCCATGTTGATTAGTTGATTAGTAAATATAATAGAGATATGAAATACTGCAACCTTCTTTCACTCTTATTTGCTGATGATACCCTTGTATATACGGAAAACTGTGATTGAAACTTTGCACCAGTCATGTTAAAATTTTTATAGCACATTTTTAATTTCTCTCTAAAAATGTCCATATGAGTAAAAATGTATCAGAAAAGTTAAATTCCATGATGAGTTTGTTATGTATACATGAATTGATGATAATTAACCGAACTTGTTTTTTAAAATAGAGGGGATATCTGTCAAAAATAAGCAAAACGGTAACTTTATCCTAGTTGCATTAAATTTGGTATATGGATATAAAATTGCCGTAGACACAACTTTTACAAGTAACTTTTTGTTAAATTCGATCTAGAAATGCACTTTTTCAATTTTTTTCAAAAAAAAAGTTGAATTTGACAAACACTGAACGTCATTGGGTCGCAGTTGGCCGCATAATTTTAAATTAAATCCAAAGCATAAACAAGTGCCGAAGTTAAACTCCATTGAAACTTTTCGAAAAAAAAAGTTTCTCATAAGGTGCGCACTTTAATGGTGACACTGTATATATTAAATGGCATTTCAGGTTAGCTTCCCAAATTTCTGCTACCGCAGTTGTCGGTTGATTGGTCAAACCACCAACACTGACATAAACACTTGGCAAGTTGACGTGGGTGTCACACCAATAGGTGGTTCCACTTATGTTTCGCTTGCGTTTACGCAGCTATCATCATCAAGTACTTTCTTGGTTCTTTCTCATTTTGTCTTCAATCGAGGACCGCCTGCCCGGTACTGACGATGCCCAATAGGCTGAAACAGCTGTATACCGGTGGCTTTTAAATTGAAATCAATATGGAAATGATCAAAGAGTACATATCTATTTATTTTTTAATTTTCGATTTAGGATTAGTAGGATTACCAATGTTTTTCACTCTAATCTTTTCAGTTTTTTTTTTGCTGATGCTATTCAATAGCGTAAATGAGCATCAAGAAAGGGAATAAGGGGAAAATGGGGTTCCAAAGATTGTATCGAATTTCGTTAGTTTTGAAGTTGGAAACCTGTTTCCAACCCAACCTGTTGGTTTGTTAAAAAATATTGTCACTATTTCATTAGTTCGGACTTCCATTGTCTAATATGATGGTAAGGGATTTCAAATCCCTGAAAAAATCTGTGAAAAATTAAATAGATCAGCTGAAATATAACGATTATATAGAGCAAAATAAACTGAAATTACAGTGAAGTAAAATACAAGCAACAACCAAAAAATAATAACATATTTTAACAAAACGTAGCAGAACTATCACGCAAAGCAGCCTAAGTTACTGAACGAATACAAAACAATTTGAAACAAGATTATCTCTACTGAAGAAAATTGCAACACCTTGTCAAAGATATTCCTGCAAATAAATCTTCTTTGAGTTTGATCTTCAGTACTAGTAAAAGCTCGCTTTATGTACACGATATATTTCAAGTGTCCTTATAAGAAAAATTCTAGCGGGTTTAAAGCGGAGGCCGTCGTAAATCGTTACATTGTACAGTACCATTAACTATCAAATTTCCTATTCAACCTTTGAGAAACATCATCAATTCGATTGTGGCTCCTAACGAATACATCAGATTACAGGAAAAATAAATCATACGTATACATGATACGAAATTTAAAATAATTATATAAAACTGAATTATGAACATTTACTTTTCATTTGAACATAATATAATCCTTACCATTTTTTTTCACTACAGTTTCGTTATATTTTTTCATAAATCATAGTACTTCAATATTTTTCATCATGCCCTGTCTGCTGTGTGACTTTCAGCCTTTCTTCATGTAAATAAAACATCAACAAGAACCTACAGTAATATTTTCAGTATTGAAATTTCGATTTTGCAGCGCAAAAATTTAAAATTATCAAATTTTTTCGAACATCGTATTTCAAATATATTAAGGAAAACATTTTCAATGAAGGAGTGCAGGAAATTGCTCAGTGGATATAAATAGTTTTTTTTAAATGGGAGACTCTAATTACAAAATTTGTGCATAATGAAATCGGTGAATTAAAATTTCCAATTCACTTCATAATATTCTTTTCAAATATAACTGGTCTTTCATTGGATGAATAGAATGTTTCGGTAGTACCAGAGCCATTAAACTAAATTCAAACACTTCTGATGAAGTTCCATCAAAAGGTGTTAAAAGCCAAGTCCTAATGAAAGAAAATCTAGTTTTTTGACTGGTTAGAACTACCTAGTGTTTTTATATTATCCCAAAATGATAAATATCTGGTTAAATTAATAGAACAGACTTATCTTGTCTCAAAAATCTGAAACTATTTTTTCTTCTTATAAACCCAAAGTTATTGTTAACAATTGATGAAAATAAGGGGTATAATTTTAGGAGAGATCAATTTTTCGGAAAGAAAGGTTTTTGTTTTCTATTTCTCCATCTTCATACAAAAAATGTGGGAGTCATCCAAAGAAAAAAAGGAAGCAATTAGTTTCAAAAACTTTATTCAAAGATATGTAGATCATGCAAAGAAGCAACCATTAAGACACAAAATGAAAGAAAAGCCTTCTCGAAACAGCTACTTTCATATAAAAAGCATAACTGTGGTAATCTTCTTCACCAGGAGGAGACAATTGAACGATTTAACGCCATTTCCGCTCAATGGTGAGGTCATTCCATTTGGAACGGAGGTGAAATGTCTTGGAATTGTCATTGATAAAAAACTCACCTGGAACGCTCACTTGAAAACATTTTTAAATAAAGCCAGACTATCCCTATGAATTTGTCGAAGGATTTGTGGTAAAACTTGGGGCTTCGTTCCCAAACAAATCCATTGGATTTATGTGATGATTGTCAGACAAATGATCACTTATGGGGCAATTGCCTGATGGCCGAAGGCTTCACAGAAAACGGCTCAAGCGAAGCTCTCTGGCTTACAGAGGCAGGCTCGTCTGGCAATTTGTGTTGCCATTAGTACCACAGTCAGCGGCCGTGAAAATCCTTCTAGATCTACCTCCCCTCCACATTTTTCTGGAGAGAGAGACTAGATGGACTGCCTATTATAGACTTCTAGATCTACCTCTTCTACACATTTTTCTGGAGAGACTAAATGGACTGCATATATACTTGTGCACATCGCCAATTGCACAAATAAATATAATGCAGAGTACCTACAATAAACTGCTGATTGACACTGGAAGTCACAGCATTCTAGGAATGTCCTCTGACATTATGCCTTCAACTGTCAACTAAGAACTGCCTTATACACTACCGTTCTCGAGTAGAGAAGACTGGATCTTCCGGAAGAAGTAAATATTAAGAGCAGATAGTTAATGGTTCACAGATAGATCGAAAACACCTTCAGGTTCTGATGCAGGTGTTTTCAGTCGCAGACCCAGGACAGAGATATCAACCTGCTTAGGGTCCTGTGTGACTGTATTTCAAGTGGAATTATATGCTTTTGAAATATGTGCGGAAAGATTGGTAGAATCCAACCTCATACACAAGACAGTGAAAATATTCTTGGATAGTTAAGCGACGTTGGAAGCTCTTTGCTCCTACCGAGCAACGTCTAAAGTGGTAGCAAATTTCGAAAAACGACTCTCCTCAATAAGAAGACCTAACAAATTGTCTCTGGTTTGGATTCCTAGCTATACTGGCCTGAAATGCAATGAGACTGCTGACTCCGATGTAAAGGAGGGTGCTGCAAGCAGCTTCATCGGATCAGAAACTGTAATTCGCATCGCTTTAGGTTTTGCCAAACACCTGGATGGCAACAAGATTTATGGATTTCGGCAAAGTCTTCCAGTATTGACTTACTCCAAGGCATTCATTCACCCTTCGAAGCTTGAAACCAATCAGTTGTTGGACTGCAGTAGGAATGAACTACGATTTTCAACAGGCCTCCTTACAGGCCACTGTCGTCTGATTCATCTTATGCAGAGACTCGAACTGTCGGAAGACATTGTATGTCGCCTCTGTTTGAAAAATAATGAAAC